CCACCTGCCAGGTTGGTGGCCCTCCCAGTTAGCAGCAGGCGGGGCACGGTAGAGGGGGGAGCTAGTAATGCTCCCACAGAGCTTGGGCTGTGGGGCTCCACAGAGAGCAAGGAGACTGCGCCTTTGCACCAGCTCTGAGCTGCTTCCGGGCTCTTCACACATGACTGTGTGACATGCAGCTCGGGAGGGAAGAGACTGCTTGTCACCTGCCTCCGTAGTGCAGACCTAGGGCCAGAGGCCACGCCGTAGGCTCGTGCTTCCGTGTGTGTGTGTGTGTGTGTGTGTGTGTGTGTGTGTGTGTTCGCGGAGCTGGGCAGGCCATTTGCTCGAGGCAGGTGGTCCGGTGGTCACCTGTCCCACAAATGCAGACCGGCCCGTGTGCTCTGCTTGCCCTAGGACCTCCTGGAGCAGCACCAGGTCCTGGAAGTCGGCGGCAACACCGTTCGCCTGGTGGCCATGGCTTCTGCCGAGCCCTGGCTCCTGCACTCGGTGCGTCTGAAAGGCCGAGAGGAGGACGCCGAGGCTCCAAGAGAGGACTCCCAGGCCAGAACGCTGGAAGGGGCTTCTAGCGAGGGCAGCCCCTTGGAGAGGCAGGCCCCAACTCCCCAGGGCCCTCGGGGCACCAAGAGGGGTAGCGGCTGGACCAGTCCGAGCAGCTCCGAGAGCCCCCAGCCGCCCCCCGCCAAGAGGCCTGCGCTCCAGGCCGGGTGCTTCCCCTCCAGCCTTGGGCGGAGAACAGAAGCAGGGCCCGAACCCGGGGCCCCTGCTCTGCTTGTAACTCCCGAAGACACAGGCCCCGGGGAGCCTCCCCTGGGAGCACTGCAGGCCCAGCACCAAGACGACGACGACCCAGAGCCCAGCTCACCTGGTCAAGAACAGCTGAGCTACCAGGCCCAGCTTCCAGAAAGCTGTGAGGACCCCCGAGGTACCCGAGGCCCCCTCTGCCCACCCCTTCTCAGCCCGAGGCCCCTCTCTGTCCTCCGAGATGGGGAACCCTCCCAAAGGGACCTTTGACCTGGGCTTTTCGTAGACTGAGCTGGATGCGTCTGCAGACACCCCCACGAGGGCCAGCAGGCTCCCGGATCTTGGAGAAACGAGGCAAAACCAGAGGGGCTCTGTGAGCAGTGCCCCCGAGAAGGAGAGGTTGGCACGTTCATTTGTAGAGATGGTGCCGAAACGTGCCCTCCCGCTCTGCTGCCTCCATCTGCACCCAGCAGTGGTCTCTGTTGGGCTTCTGTCTTGGGCATGGTTTTGCCTGCTGGTTTTAGACACCCAGCATTTCTGGCGGCCCTTAGCTGGGAGCTGGGGCTCAACAGCTCCCCCTGGTGGACAGGTGCACACCCACCTGGACGTGCCAGCTCCTGCCTCCACGTCCCAGCTTCCTCCTTGGAAGCATCTGAGGACAGGGTTGGGCCCCTGTTTTCCCTGCTCTCTCCAGAGTGTGGGCGCAAAGGAGGAGCTGGGCCCCCTCTGGCTTGGGTTCCTCACAGCCTTGTCCTCTTTTTTCCAGGAGTGGCTGAGAGCTCTGCGGCCAGCAGCCTGTCGCAAATGGCACAAGAACGGTGAGTGTGGGGCTCTGTCCTGGGTGGCCTGGGAAAGCCTCCCACAGCAGCGCAGTGTGGACAGACTGTCCAGTGCAGCGATTTCTGCCACTTGGGAATGACTGGGGCTGGTTTGGCTGTCAACATTCACAGGGGCCAGCCTAGTGGGAGGGTCTGGGCAGGCAAGAAATGCTCCGGCACATAATGGCTGAGGGCCGTGGCGAGCAGTGAGCTGGCTAGCACGCCTTCCAAGGACGGGTGGGCACCAGCTGCCCTTACTGGTCTCCTGCTACCCACAGTTACATGCAAGAAAGGGCCCAGAGGTACAGCAGCCCCTGCCCCGGATCACAGCCAGTGAGTGACTGATTAACACAGCTCCTCACCCCCAGCCCAAGGCAGCCTCCACCCCAGGGACTCGTGCTCCCTGGGTTTCTCAGGGAATGAATGACAGGGTTCCCCTGGGTGCTAATACAGGCTGCGATCTCCAGAGCCAGATGAGCTGGCTCCAGGGCCCCACTGCTCAGCCTTCACGTCCTGAGGGTGAGGGGATGCCCGTCCAAGTGCCATGTGACTGCGGTGCTCGGCTCCAGCCTGGGCTCTGGGGGAGATGGCCAGTGGTTCAGCAGCCAAAGCCTTTGTTCAGAGGCAAGTGTGCTCCATCGCCCCCCATCCACTGCACATACAGGGAGCTTCTGCACAGAGGCCACCGAGCCCGGCTGCAGGGGGCAGTGGTGCTCACAGTGAGTCTGAGCAGAGGTGGGTCATTGGTACCCACAGTTACAGGCATATCAGAAAGAGGGTTGAAAGATCAGATGAAAACCTAAGTGGTTAGACTAGGGGTTCTCTTGGTAGTGACAAGGTGAGGGTGGGGTGGGGGCTGAGCTGAAGCAAGGGTGTTGGTCTTTGCAGCCTGAGCAGAGACAGTCATGGACTGGTTCCCATGACTGTGGTCACAGTGGGTCTGAGCAGGCCCACCTTCAGGCTGGCTGCCCCGCACTCAGGGTCAAGTCCTTGGCATTGGGGCCACTCTGTCCAGGCGGGAGGGGGGATGTCCCTGAGCAGAGAAGAGAAGGCAATGGGCCCCCAGCCCTGTGCCTGGGGCCCTGTGCTGAGCGAACCCTGACTGGTCCATCGGTCTCCCGGCCCTGCAGGGACGGCGAGAGCATCTGCTTCATCGGCCGCCCGTGGCGCATCGTGGACAGCCACCTGAACACGCCGGTGGCCAAGGGCATGATGGAGGCCCTGCTCTACCACATCATGAGCAAGCCCGGGATCCCCGAGAGCCACCTGCTGCAGCACTACCAGGGCGTCCTGCAGCCAGTGGCCGTGCTGGAGCTGCTCCAGGTGCGGCCGCCAGGGGATGGGGCTGCGGGTGGGCGGCCGGCCAGGCAAATTCTTGGGCACGGCAGCCCAGACAGGCTTGGCCTGGGTGTCCTGGCAGAGGGACCCAAGCCCCTGTAGCTCCCTCCTACCTCCACGGCGCCCACTGCAAAGGTTCACCTGCAGGCAGGCCCCATCCTCCCCCTCAGCCTAACTGGTTCACAGCTCCGCTTCCCAAGATGCCGCCCTCAGCCCTGGGTCTCCCCCTCAGACTGCCCCTCTCGGGTTGCCCAGCCTCGAGTGCAGGTGTCCTGAGGGTCCTGTTTGACCCTTTGTCTCCAGGTCAAAGCTCATCAGGCCTGGTGGGTGGCAAGGGAAGCTGGTGAGGGTGCTCACCTGGCTGATGGCTGCCCTGGGCTCACTGGGGGCTGGCTCTTGCCGCCCCTCCAGAGACAATGAACCCAGCCCCCATGTGAACCAGCTTGCGCTGCTCAGGGCTGCCCGCCCTCCCTCCCGCTGTGCTTTGGGAGCAGTGTGGGCCGGGTGGTGCCACACACAGGCTTGGCAAGGGTGGTGATTGCCGTGTCTGGCTTCTCAGAGCCTGGTGTCCCTCGGCTGCGTCCGGAAGCGTGCCCTGAAGAAGCCCCCCGCCGTCTCGCTCTTCTCAAAGCCCGTGATTGAAGAGGCCGAGGTGCCTGCCAGGCCCTGCGGGAGCCCCACAGCCTTCTACGAGCCCACGCTGGACTGCACCCTCCGCCTGGGCAGGGTCTTCCCCCATGAGGTCAACTGGAACAAGTGGGTCCATTTCTGAAGTAGGGCCACCCCCCCACCCCTCCCTGAGCTCCGGAGAGTGCCCCCCTGACCCCCACCCGGCTGCTCCCTGCAACTCTCCTGGGCCACCCTGGGCACTGGTGTCACTCCCCAGGACGTGGGGCTTCTTGTCCCAGCCAGGGTCGGGGTGGCGGGCAGCAACTGGCCACTGTGATGCCCTTCCCGTGCTCTGGAGGGCACATCCTCACACAGGGCCCTGAGGGCGGCTGCGTCTGCACAGGGCATGCCTCGCTGGGCACCCACCCTGGAGCACCCATGTGCCCCAAGGATGGGTTCTGATGGAGACTGGGCACCTGCTGCCCAGCTGAGACTTAGCACCACAGCAGAGACTGACCCTCGCCTCCTCGCCGCCTGAGCTCGGAGCAAGGCCCCCGAGGGGCAGGGATGTGTGGCGACAACCCCACCCCCACCCCACCTCCTCACTACCAGTAGAGCCCCTAGTCTAACCACTTAGGTTTTCTTCTGATCTTTCAATCCTCTTTCTGATTAAAAAAGAAATTCCTGGCATGTATTTATTTTTTTTTTATTAAAGTGAAGCAAAAAGCACAGAGTTCTGTGTGTTCCCTAAGGACTCCTCCATCCCCCGGGCAGGGCATGCTCTGCTCTCCCCAGGGAGGAGGCACCCTTGGGCTTGACTCCCCAGTCTGGCCGGCACCAGGCCTTGGGGTCCCCCTGCAGCCACCTCGGCTGCTCCCATTCCTGGTCCTTCGCCAAGAAACTGGTTGGGGCAAGTGTCAGGGGAGGGGGAGGGGATGTCCAGGGGAAGTTCCAAAAGTTCGTAGAAAATGCCCATTATCTTTACATTCTGCTTTCCATGTACCTTCTGAAGCCCCTCAAATGTCTGCATGGGGTGAGGTGGGGAGAGGAAACATCTGGGGGTGATGCATCTGTGCGCAGGGTAGGTATCGGGAGCAGTACATCGGCCTGGGGGTGCTCTGGGCGGGGAAGGGGGCTGGCTGTCAGTGAGAGGCATTCTGAGCCCAGGCGGGTCACCACGCTGTCGGCTCCACAAGACCAGCCTCACAGCGAGGTCGCAGAATTTGGTCCACGGACATTTGAAAAAAAAGGTAAGTTTCAAACGGCTAAAAACCTTGGAGGTTTTGTGTTTTTGAGAAATATACATTTCTTCTCTTAAAAAAACGGAAAGATATGGTAGCACTGCATTTACAATCAGGTGCCAAGTGGATGTAGCTCCCTGCATATGGATGTGGCCCCTGCACACACAGCCCCACCCCCCAGGCTCTGGGGGCTTCTTGCTCTGGCCCACCCTCGGTCCTATCTCCACCCTCTCTCTGCCACGGCCCCGGATACTCCAGACCGTATGGGTGAGGAAAGAGGATTGGTGCTTGGGTCCTCATGAGCGTGGTCCCCCACACAGCTAAAATGTTGAGTCTTCTCACTGTTAAAAGATAGTTTTCTTGGCACATGATTCACGAATCCCATGATTCAACCGTTCGCGCATATTAGGAAGAGTTATGCAGCCATTGCCA